CGACCTTCTCTTCTTTGGTGAAATATCCATCACCCCGCTCTTCTGTGTCGAAAAAGAAAGACTTCATGTGGACGCCCAGTGGTCGAGTGCATCTAGCGCCGTCTGCGCGTACTTTACCGCGCATGCCTGATTCGCGCTAGCAGCTATAAGAAATATGTCATCTGCATACACCACCGTCTTGACCGTGGTTGGCATTATCTTCCACAAGTCAGCCATGTAGCAAGTAAATAACATTGGAGCCAAGACACTCCCCTGCGGGACCCCCTGCACAAAACTGTGGCATTCCGACAGCACACCTCTCCATCTCACCCGAAACACTCTTTGGATGAGGAAGGACTTTAGCCACCTGAGAGCCTTACCACGTATCCCCAGCGTCACCATCTTGTTCAGAAGCCCGTATTGACATACTGAATCATATGCCCCCTCCAAGTCTAGGGCAACTATGTACGTCCACTTGTTTTGGCCATGGGCCATTGCTATTTTGTGATGTATTGCAACAAGGGCTTCCTCAACTCCTCTGTATGGGAACCCAAAGTGATCGACCGTTATCCGATTTTCTCTCACCAAAGTTTGCTGAATTCGCTGTAGGACCATACGTTCAAAGGTCTTTGCTATATGTGAGGTGAGCGATATGGGCCTGTATGAGTTCACCTGGATGGCCGGTCAACCTGGACATCCAGGCCAGGCATTTTGCGATAGGCACAATCATTGCAATTTTCCAGTCTGGTGGGATTTTCCCTGTCTCCCATATTGCATTAAAATTGTCCAGGAGGTCCCGCAGCCCCTCATTCGGCAGAGCCCTCAGTTCCTGGGCCCCTATTTGGTCCGGTCCCGGCGCCATAGATTTCATCTTCCGGATTGTGAGACAGATATCGTGCAGCGTAAACTGTTTGTCCTCCCATCCCTCGCTTGACCATCCTAGATCCCGTTGGGGCGCAAAACACCCCTGCTGCCAGGGGCGACCAAAATAAGTAGCCAATGCCTCCACTTGATCATAGGGCGTGACCAGCACCTCCGGGTTGGTAAGAATCCTATAATCGTCAGCATTGTCTGGGGGGGCTCGGAGGCGTCTGAAGATCTGATAAATGGCAGATTTTTCCAGTGGCCGCCCACATGCCCGGTACCACCACTCTCGTCTCGACTGCCGTACCGTTCTTCGTAGCTCTGCACTGAGCCTCTTATACTGGACCCACCAGCTCTGTCATACCATTTGTCTGGCTAGCCGGAACGCCCTCCGCTTCTTCGCCTGCATCCGCCTGCACTCCATGGTCCACCACGGTGGAACGCCCTGTGGCTAGGCCCGGGAAACCTCCGTCATAGCCTCCACTGCCTGCTGAATCCTTCTGAGCAGTCCCTGATAGGAGCTCAGGCCGAGATTACTGCTCTGCCGCATCCGCTTTGTGTATGATCCCCAGTCTGTACGTTTCCGGGTCCGGAATCCCGCTCCTTTTGTGAGGCCCCTTTTCATTTTTACGGACAAAACAATCGGATGATGGTCACTCGTAAGGTCGTCTCCACGCAGCTCCCACGTGATGTCTCCCAGCAGGTCTGTCGAGCTCATGGTGACATCAATGGCTGTTCCTCCGCCAGTGCTGAAATGGGTGGGCTCCCCTGAGTTTAAACACCCTATCTCGGCCGTCGTCATCCATTCAAATAGTATCCTTCCAGCTCTGTCTGGCCTTCTGCACCCCTCGTTCCAGTGAGGATAGTGGGCGTTCCAATCTCCCCCATCAGACGTGACCAATGGTCTCCCTGGATGGCTTCTTCGAGAGCATCCACCGTAAGCTGCCCATGCGGGGCATACAGATTCACAACGGACAGAGGCCTGTTCGCCACAAAAACCAAAGATTCCTGGTACTCCAACCCGCCGTCTGCCACCCCAGTCCGTATGTGCCTGGCCGGCCACCGTTTCGCTACCACAGTGAGGAGACCCCCCCTTACCTACCGGACGGTCTGACCAAAAGACCATAAACCCCAGCAAACCAAAACTGACCCCTGGCCCCAGCCACGTTTCTTGAAGCATGATTACGTCCACTGTGGCGAACCATTCCGTCGTGAGCAGCAAATCCCATTTGGCCTTTACCCCCTCGCATTCCATTGAACTACCCAAATTGTTCCCTGTTCCTGAACCCGTTTATCCAATGTTGGGTTTTCCTATCGATTGTCGCCTGCGTACTTTTACCAGTTCTGCTGGTGTCATCGGAGAGATGTCCTCCATCAATTGTGCGTGCATTGTCCATACTGCCATGCCTCCTCCCCTGACTGAGCCTCTTTGGTGTCAGAGTACACTGGGACCCTTCTCTGCTGGCACGTAGGCCCTTTTTTTCTTCTTGCTAAGTTGCTGGTCGTCTCCTTCCACCACGATCCGTGGCGGGCGCTTTCCTGGACCTACCGTCCCCTCTGACCTCACACTCGCCTGGTCCCTCACCCGTCCCCCGACGACATGTGCGGTGCCCGTTCTTCTGTCCCCAGCTTCTGACTTATCGTCTGTAATTCCTCCCGCAGGGTTTCCACCGCCGCTTCAAGTACTGCTAGCCGCTGTATAATCACCTGCTGTTCCGCCCTTGCTGTAGCTCCGACATCGATTATTATTATTGTTTATTGTAGATGTAATCATAAATAAATGAAATTAAGCAAACAGAATATTGAAGATTGAGCTGCATAAACTGCATTATCAAGAAATCAAAATGATTGCCAAATGACAACATTTTTATCATTTTACTTTATTTCTTCTGAATTTGACAAATTAAGCAGAAATGAAAATAAAATGATACTAGTAAACTAGTAAAATGTATAGTAGTAATAATGATAAAATTCTCTGCTCTTTGATCTAGTTCAGTCATGTACAAGACAAAACAAGGATAAGCTGGATCAAAGAGAAAGAAGAAAACCTGCACAAAAACACCAATCATGCTCTGTGTTGAAATAAGCATACACAACATTCAACGTGCAGTACAAAGAACACAGTTGGAAAATACCTGGTGCAGACATTCACAGTTTCTGGTACAAAAAATTTACATCACTGCACCAAGTACTAGCTAAATATTTTACACACACAATCAGCAATCCACAATATATGCCAAAATTTCTTATATGGTGCATTATATATATGAATCCAAAATTACATCTCCATTGATTCTGCACAATAATGACCAATCATGTGCCTTTCTACATTCTCCAAAATACTCACAAATAAAATATATCATCACGTAGAACAACATAATATTCTCAAAAAGCAACTAGAAGGCTCTCATAGAAACTATAAGGGATGCAAAAGAACAGTTACTCTTAGATTCAGTCATTCTACAACAAGCACTCAATCATAACAAAAATTTATATCTAATATATGTAGATTACAGGAAGGCATTCACCATCATCCCCACATGATTATTGTATATGCTAAATCTATTTAAAAAAATATCCAACACATTGCATTTTTAGAAAACACAATGAAATACTGGAGAACATCATCTTACCTGAGACTTCACAGCACATGCACAAACCAAGTACACATAAGGCAAAGCATTTTCCAGAGAGACTCATTAAGTCATTTCAATTTTGTTTGGAGTTATATCCAACATCCACTAGGTTAAACAATACTAAATTTGGATACAATAGAACAATACAATACTTCTCATATACATGAACAATATTTAATGTACTGTACAGTTGCCTATTAGAATTATCATGTAACCCTTTTCACTTTAATAAAAAATGTTGGAACCCTGACTGTTTTTAATGATTATAAATAAAATAGCAATTTGTTGAAAATGTAAAAAGAAAAATCAGATTAATAATGGAAAGCAAATATTATTATTTAATTCAAACTGGTAATTAATGTGAAGAGTTAAACTTTTTTTTCAGTATTTTAAACAGTGCTAATGTCTGGATCTGTACCTTTGTTGATATCTGCCTTTTCGATCTTTGTCATTAGAAACATTTGAAATACTTGCTTCATTTTTTTTTTTTTTTTTTTCAATTTCTTTCTCAGCCAATGTTCCATAATAATTTAATTTGGGGTATACACTATACTAAAAGCACTATAAATTTATATGATTCCCACTATATTTTTATATGAAAAATACTTAAAATATCAGAAAATGATATCAGTGCAAAACACTAGTAATCTTTGACTGATATGCCCACTTATATGCTGTACTGTTGCACTCCAACTTGCTACAGATGATGGGACAACAATGATCTCATTGTTTCCTCAGTCATACGCAAACAAATGATGTTCTATCATTCACGGTTCCATGCCTTCAACTGAAAAGACAATGCAAAGACCTCACTACTTTTACACTACTTGCCACACATCTGTCACTTCACCTGGTGGTGAGTTGTAGCCATTTCAAAAATGTCCATCCTTTCTGCCCCATCCTGTACAAGAAGCTACAGGAAGTACATTTTAAACAATATAGCATTTGCAGACCACATTCACAACTGGGACTTCAATGAATGCAGTTAATACCTTGGGGAATCTTCCACAGAACTGTGGTTATCTCTGAACCTAGAATGCTACTTATATACCTGAGTGCAATTTATACAGTTATTTTTTTTTTTTAACTGTATCTGCATGTACTGATAGATGTCAATTGGTTTTATACTCTTGCACAATTTGAAACATGTATTTATACTTTTGTAAAGAGTATACTTTTTTGGAATTTACATTGATATTTTATATATGATTGCCTGAAGATGGGTGCTAAATGCATCAAAAAATGTTAGCATGGAAGAATTAAATTGCTTGAGAAAGAAGTTGTGAAGTTTTATAGACATCTTAATGTTCTAATTTAAGTTATAGAGCAAATATATGATTATTTCAAATATTAAAAAAAAAGAGAAAAACAGTTATTTTTTATTGATTGTTTCATTGTCATCATGATACTCTGCAAATATTTGTTTTCTAAATTTTGTCAGCAAATAGCTAGAGTTAATTTTTCAACAATTTACATATGAGTTCATTTATTGTTGATGTATTTAAAATTTTTGCTTTACAGAGAGTGAAGGAGAGACGACATTACACGGAAGATTGTCTTCAAGATGAAGAAATTGAAGGCAGGCGTATGTTTTCAGTTGAAGACAAACTTTCAAGTGATTTGTTTGGATCATATTTTGTCAAGGAAATGAAAGGCGAAGGTAATAATAATTAATTTTTTTAATTATTGAAACATACATAATTCTTTTAATTAACACATTTAGTGCCATGCATTAAAATATTTGTATGAAACTGAGACCAAACTTTTTGTGCATTTTTAAATCATGACAAATGCATTTTTTTCATTATTTTAATGTTTGTCATCTACTTTTGTGGGAAAAATGTATTTTTTTGAAAAACCCATAGGTAGACACAAGAGCCCATAAGCAATTTTTGCTTACTTTGTACATATCCCTACTGGTGGAAATCTAATAAAATAATTTTCTAAATCAAAGCAAATTTACTTATTGAAGAAAGTTGAAAGTCAAAAAAGAGTGATTAGAAAGAGATATTTCTTATGAAATTTTAGTTGGCAATATGGTACTATTTATGCTAGGCCAAAAATGTGAACATGATATGTGAAAAGTGAAATATCCAATCTATCTCTTGTTTTTAAATACAGTAATACCCTGACTTACGCGAACCCGGAGTTACGCGATTTTCAAATCTCGTCGATTTGTCTTTTGTTTGAGAGCCACACTACCCTTGATTACTCACTCCTCCCCCACTATTGTTCAGCTTACATGTTCGGATGTGTCGAGCGGAATCCACACATAGCTACAATTTATTTTGTGTTATTTATTTCTGTGTTTGTTATATCTACGGAGACTCGAGAGACTCTACTATGTCATCCAAACGAAGTAGAACTAATTCTTCTNTAAATTCTTAATCATCATTGTTCCAAATAAAATTACAAGTTATTAAACATATCTGAAAATTATGGACAATTCCTTTAAATACAAATTACTTTTCTATTACAGTAATACCCCGACTTATGCGAACCCGGAATTACGCGATTTTCAAATCTCGTCGATTCGACTTTTGTTTGAGCGCCACGCAACCCTTGATTATTCACTCCCCCCACACTATTGTTCAGCTTACATGTTCGGATGTGTCGCGCGGAATCCACACATAGCTACAATTTATTTTGTTATTTATTTCTGTGTTTGCTATATCTACGGAGACTCGAGAGACTCTACTATGTAACCCAAACGAAGTAGAACTAATTCTTCTGCATCAAACAAGAAAAGAAAAGCTTTATCTTTGGAATGTAAAGTTAACATTGGGTATGTTCGTAAAGTCGAACGAGTTGAACGAGAATGACGTCATCGTTATTCCTATTTCGTTAGACTTTTCGAACGATTCGTTACTAACGTGTTTAACTCATTTGACTTTATGAACGTACCCATTATTAAAGACTTCGACACAAAAATGAAAATTTGTGAATTGGCAAAGAAGTTTGATCTACCGAAATTGTCGGTCAGAACGATTATAAAAGGCAAAGAAAAAATTCTTGAGGCTGTGAAAAATGCTCAATCTTTAAATTTAAGCATCATTCGTAAATGTCACAGTATTATCGCTGAGATGGAAACAATGTTAAAATTATGGCGTAATAATCAAGTAAATGTGAAAAACTGTAAAATAATATAGGCCTAATTTGTTATACATATGTATTATCTAAGATTTTATTAAACATTTTTTTTTAAATTATTGTATTCTTTAGTCTCCGGTCCCAATTAAAAATTATTTTTATGTATTTATATGCGAAATTATACCCCAACTTATGCGAATTCGACTTACGCGGTTACCGCTCGGTCCCACCTATCGCGTAAGTTCGGGGTATTACTGTATTTGTAATATACTACATTAAAAAATCCAGCAACAAGTTGCTTAACTTTCTTGGCAACATTTAAAACTGCATGTGTGGCACCATCTGTTATGGTATTTTATTATTAAAAAACTTTTTCTATTTTTAATTATTATAAAATAACAAAAAGCTGAGGATAGGGATAGGTTTTATAAAAAATTGTAAATGCAAATAAAAAATAAAATTGTCATTAAGTCCAACCTTACTCAAGTTATGACACATGACCCCTCTTTATCTCCCCATCTCATCAACCTTTAACCACCAAAATTCAAATAGCATCAATTCCCATGATACACAAACCTCCCTGCAAAATTTCAGAAATTTTCAACAAAAAGTCCAGGAGTTATTAAGCTTCAAAGAGTATGAACAAAATCATGCCCACCCACACACAAACAAACAAACACAAACACATATTCAAAAAATATCTATACAGTAGAGCGTCGTTTATCCGAATCAATTGGAGACTGGGGTTGTTTGGATAGCTTATTTTTCGGATAACCAATTATGTTCAAAAAAATATATTAACCTATCCCATCCTAAAATTTTTCTCCATTGCATGTCGCTTTGTGTTGAATTATCGTCGATGTTAAGCCTAACGTAAACTTTTAAAAATAATAATAGTGGCTATTGTATCATTAAAAATTATTTCTTTATTTTCTACAAACAAAATAAATATATTGAAAAATATAAAAACAATAAAAAATATTGAAGTTAATTTAGTATCAAAAACATAAAATATTTGAGTAGCCCAAGACATAGCCAAAGATTGCAGCGCCACAGCACTAGCAAAAATTTAAATTTGCCAACTGGAATTCTTTCAGATAACCGACTTTCAGATAAACGATGCTCTACTGTATATATAGAGAAAACACGTGAATTTTTTTCATTTCTCAATGTTTCAAGGTCCTGATTCCAAAAATTTTTAAATCTTGGGTGATCATTTTTTGACCAATCATCATACTTTTCCTCTGTTATAAACTGAAGTGAGAAAAAATTTGACACACCTATGTAATAATGTGTAGCTCTTCTCTGAGCCTGAATAACAGCAGCTAANTAAGATTTTAATAAGTCAAAAAATTATTTTGTTATTAATTAAGTAATGCCTTATAGCATTAGATTAATAAATAAACATTATTAAACTTTATAAATATTTACTCATTGTTATGGCTAACGGGAATCTTAGCCAGGTACAAGTTCAAAGTGATGAGTCCGTACCCCAAGGTTCAAATCTATTCTGGGGTATACGTTCGTTCTTCTTGCTTCTCGCACTTCAACGTCCTCACAACCAGAGACCAAACCAAAAAGTGACTGACCCTGCGGTTCCTCTCGTACTGCGCAGGATTTCTCTGGCAACCTTCCGTTTCCGCGGTTAGGGGTCTTCTGCCTTAGGGACGTTTAGTCATAATCCCACGAACAATAGCTTCGTGCCACTGGCAACTCGACCAATCACATGTACAGTACAAAGTGTCCGTTACACTCATAGATGTAATTAATGTACATTAGTTTAAATGCTATTTAAATAAATTTCATTAACACAAATATAAAAAGTGTCCAGAATTTTTTTTAATTAAAAAAGTTAAATTTTCTTTGAAACATTTTTTCATAGATAAATCCTTTTGGATTTAATATTACCTGAAAAAAGCCATTCAACATGACTAAAACATTAGTATTTTAAAGATATTATACTGGAAAGACAAAGTGTGATAGTATAATTTGAACCCAAATGCAGTTTGCCAATCATTTGTTTTTTCCAAAATTATTAAATTTTTTATTATAAAGAAGAGTAAATTTATTATTGGATTTTCTTAGGCCTATTATTAAAATTAACTACTACATGAAAATATCCTATTAAAAATTTTTATAAAACTACATTTACTGACAAAGATTTATAGAGATGATATAGTTTTTTTTTGTCATTTTCATCTCTTACTTATGGTTAAAAAGCATTATTTGGATTAGTCTCTTTTGTAATGGAGACTGTTGCACAGTATGCTGGTGCTTCTCATTGACAAGTTACTCATTTTTAATTAAAATTAATTAATAGAAATAAAAATAATCAATATCTTTACTTAGTAAGTTTATATTAAAATCATTTTTAAGAGTGAGTTTTAAATTGGTTAATGATTTTAATAAGCAACTCCACACCTTCTATACTTTTTCTAGCAAAAATTTTATGGGACAAACATTTTTGGCCTGTTTAAAGGGTTTGCATCAGGTTTTCCAACTATTCTAAAATTGGATGTTCTACAGCATATTCCAAACTAAAAGTCACATTGTTTGAACATTCCAGTTTGGAATATGCTGTAGAACATTTGATTTTAGAATAGTTGGAAAACCTGATGCAAACCTCTTAAACAGGCCAAAAACATTTGTTCTATAAAAATTTTTGCTGGAAAGAGTATGGAAGGTGTGGAGTTGCTTATTGCGAAAGTGTTCTAGCATCTCAAAAGTATATCAGTTAATGATTTTTCTGCTGTTAAATAATTTATAAAAATACTGTTTTATTCAAATTGATTTTATATGTATATACAGTGAAAACTTGATTACTTGAACTTTATGAAACTAGGGTTCTTTCAGATAATGAAGAAACTTGTTTATTTTTGTATTTTGAGTACATCAAGCAATGTGCATTTTAAGTTTCATGAACTATAAATATCATAAATGCAATTACTGTACTGTATTTAAAAGTAATAAGTAATAAGTAAATTAAAAAAGTAAATAAAAAAGAAAATTTATTTAACACCTTAATAAAAATTTACAATAAACTGTGACTCCTTTAACATGGTACTGTACATAATATAGAACACTCAAAATGCATTTCAGACATAATAAACAGTCCCTCTTCAGTTGGTGTTCATACATATAAAATTATAAAAATAAATTACAAATACGTTTAAAAGACTGCTGTAAACATGACGACTTCATAATCATCACAAGTGATGTCTCATGGATACAATTGTTTCACAATCATCACTTCTTAGCCTTGGAACATTAATAAATTAATTGTAAAGAATCCTTAAGAAATAAATTATTATAGTAAGTTTAAAAATTTTAAACTGAACATTTGACATATGATGCTCTTAAAAAGTGAGTTTTTAAATGCATCATATATTGTATCAATTAAATTTAAGATACTTATTACTAACAGAACCAAAACTAACTTCATTTAATAAGATATACAAGAAGAAAATGATTCAAAGAGATGAACTGATTTGTTATCATGATAATTTATAAAAAAAAGGCAATAATAATATGAAATAATATATTGCTTTTAGCCCTTAATACTATTTAACAATTAATCTAAATCAACAAGACACACACACACATATACAGTCGACCCCACTATAACACAGGTTCCTATGGTTCGGATTCCTATATCACGGCGAAAAAATTGCGACAGTATTCGTACAAACATGCTAAAAAAAACTCGTATAATTCGGTAAAACATCATCGCCAACTCGTGTCGCGACAGGATTGGTCAAATCTAGGCCANTCCATACGACGTTTTGTGAATAGTCAAGATCATTACCCGAATGCCGAATCAGTGTGAATGTTTGCAACAATCGTAAGGCAGTGCTACCAGATGCAAGAAAATAAAATTTGTTCATTCGAAAAATTACAAATAGGACATAATTCCGTATACACTATACAGTATTATTATTCAGATGATGAACGCTGACCTAAATTAAATTCATAGGCCGTTGATAGTTTGGAGGTCATCTTATAGGATAGATATATGCTAAAACTATAAAACTTCGATAAAAATTTATATCTCATCTTATCTGCTGAGATATACAGTATATACCAGACTTGGGCAAATTCAGCTCTTGCTGAAAGTGTTAATTTCTGCTTTTTATCATTACTTTTACAATTTTATTTCCACAATTTTGTGAAAATATGTTTATTAAAAAAATTCAATATTTGTTTTATATTATATTTATATTATATAATAAAATCATGGTACAGAACTNTAGGGAGGTCGACTGTACATATATACATATGGGCTTATCACACCAGTGAATGAGATTGATTAACAAATTCTTTAATGATTATTAACACCTTAATAATAAAAATTTACAATAAACATGTATCATACATAATATAGAACACTCAAATGCATTTCAGACATAATAAACAGTCCCTCTTCAATTGGTGTTCATATATATAAAATTATAAAAATAAATTATAAATACCATATATTTCCGCAGATAAGACAAGGTATAAATTTTTGTCTAAGTTTTATAGTTTTAGAATATATCTGTCCTATAAGACAACCCCCAAACTATCAACAGCCTATGAATTTAGTTTAGATCAGAAATCATCATCTGGCTAATAATATTGTATAGCATATATGAAATTATGTCCTATTTGTAATTTTTCGAATTAACAAATTTTATTTTCTTGCATCTGGCAGTACTGCCTTGTAATTGTTGCAAACATTTGCACTGATTTGGGCATTTAGGTAATCAATCACCTTGACTATTCACAAAAACATCATATAGGCTATTCTATTTTGTGGACACCCTACTCTCGTATCCACTAGTAAATAATTATGATTTGTCCGTTTTTTTTATAATGGTTTTAATTTATATAAATTTCAATCTATTTTCTTTTGTATCTGTCCTATAAGATGACCCCAGATTTTGGGGGCCTTTATTTATGATTCAACTATTGTCTTATCTGCAGAAATATAAAGTACATTTAAAAGACTGTTGTAAACAAGACGACTTCACAATCATCACAGGTGATGTCTCATGAATACAATTGTTTCACAATCATCACTTCTTAGCCTTGGAACATTAATAAAATTTACCAAAATTACTATTTCCATAATTAAAGTATTATAAATGTAAAGTGATGGTCATATTGGTTGAACTGACTGGAACTCTTATGACAATACTGAAACATAGCATTAATGCTGCATACTACTACTGCTAGAGCACTACAACTAATTTGTATATTTACACACATCACATGGCATCAATTATTGCATCTTTAATTATTAATTTATTTTTATAATTATCAATAAAGTCATACTATCCTTAATCTAATTTCACTCCTAAATTGTCATTAATTTTTTTTTCTGTTTTTACTTTTAAAATTTCTATATGTTCATAGTATTTCCTTTTTTTAGCATTAGTTTTATATTTTATTGCCTTTATTGAGTTTTTCATTATTTCACATCCTTTGAAATTACAATGTTTAGCAACAGCAGAATTATGCATATTATATTTTATTGCATTTATATGTTCTTTAATTCGTACTTTTAAATTTCTTTTTGTTTCTCTTATATATATTTTTTCTACATTATTCAACACAATATGTTTTTCTTCTTTATTACATTGATCTGGGACTAATACAATATCAAACTTTTTAAATTCATTTTTTATTTTTTCAAACATATTTTTAACATGTCAATTTAAAATATTTTACTAAACTTTGATTATTATCCGTTTCATTAACATTTTAGTATTAATACTGTTAATTTTTTCAAATATGTGTTCCAGTCAGTTTTCAAGAAGTTTCTTTGGGTAATTATTTAATAAAAACATTTAAATAACATCAACAATTTCATTCATTTTATCTTGTTCTAATGTAGTTCTATTCTCAATCTTTTTGATACAATTAGCAAAAATATTTCTTTTTATATAAATCGGGAAATAAGAATAATAATCTTAATAATAAATAAGGTTTTCTTAACATTGACACAACTAAAAAAGTAAGTTTATTATTTTGTTGCATAAATCAATTAAGAGTAATTTCTTATGATAATTGTTAAATGAATTATTCAGGCCTCTAGTCTTCATAATATGCTTTATTATGAATTACATGAAGATAAAACCAATAAATTGCATTATTTAAATAACTGTTTTCATTTATGTGAATTATTCCAGTTTTGATGCATAATTGCATAACAAGGACTTTGTTTTGTTTCTAAGTATGCTTTTTAGGTTCTATTTTGATTGCATTTGAACAATTTGATTCAGTTTAATGTATGTAAAAATTAGAACAAATTCAAGGAAACTACATTGGAACTCCTTCATAATTGGAATAATTTGCTATGTATGGAAATCAAGGAAAACATTACCATTTCAAATGATAGATGAAGACTTGTTTAAGTTTTTCTTTTTAATAAAATGTAGAGAATTAATTTTTATTATTATTTTTTTTAATGTTGTTTATCAAGTTGATGGTTTCTTTTGGTAGTTTTATTTTGTGACATTTCCTGTCATTTAGAAAGTTAGACTTTTTAGTTGTACCTATGCACTTTAACTTAAAACACAGGTTTTAAATTAAAATTTAATGCTACAAAGAATGTAGCCACAGTTATCACCATGTGCCGTTTTTGAATTATCATCATGTTTTTTTAGTACTGCACAATTGGCATTTTGCAACAGTTTAAGCATTGACGTTACAAACCCCCCTACAAAACAATGTGACAATACATGCCGTCAAAGAACACAGTGCTTCGAATTGTATTGCATGTCAGCATGATGAGTAATGTGCTAAGAGATAACCAAATTTTTTTATTTAAGAAAAAAAAGTTTCTTACATTTCCAATATGTTCTCAGAATCTTTAATAGTAAAACTGAATCTACATCATCTGGAAACTAAACAGAAATAACTAAATTATATTTAATGTTTTAATTTAATATAAATTAATTAATGAAAAATTATTTACTTTTTCTATTATTTTTATAACAACATTTCTTCTTTTCTAAATAAAATTTTAAAAAATTATTTAAAGATAAAATTTTACAGGATTTAAAATTAATATTTATTATTATTTTACTTGATTTAACTGAAAATCTTCAGCTCTGAAGAAACTTAAATCCCGATATATTATGTTGTCATCATTTACCTCCCTATAAAAATAAACAAATAAATATTAATTCATAATGTATATTTATATTTTTTAATAATTTTCTGAAAACAGTTTAATCATTATATTTTAGGTAAACTGAGATTATTGATGATATGAATCTTTAGAACAGTTTAAGTAATGATCCCTCCTGAAATATTTACTTGTAAATTGTATTTTTCAGAATTCAGAATTTTGCATTAAAATTATTTTAACAACATTACAACTTTCCTGTATTTAAGAATAGCATTTTTTAATTTCATTATATAGAATATCAAATCAACAATTAATAATTTTCAGGATATTCAATACATTATGCAATATATAGGGTGTAACAAAACTCTCTGCCAATATTTTAGGGATAGCTTATACAGTCAAAAATAAGCTTAAAAACCTCTATAAAGATTCTCAAATTTACTTCATTTTCAAGATCTGATCTTCCAGAAAATCAATTATGCATCTGTTTCTGAAGAGGCTATTTTGAGTCATCAGTTTCACATGAATATGAAAGGAAAAAAAATCATATTTTACTACATTTCTAAACATTAGAAAACTGTGTGTTATACAATTTAAATATATATTAATGCAGTGAATGGTTTTGGTTCACTTTTACACTTACATATAAAGAAATTTCAATTGTTAAAAAAAAAAATGGATATTAGTAGCAGGGGGTGCAATTACTCCTGTGTGCCACTAGTGAGAAGGCTAGCAGTAAAAAAGAACTGAAGAATGTCATGAAAAACCAATATAATGATATATTGAGTACAATGTTGCAAAATAATTGTGAATTCACTTTTTACTATTTTTTTATAAAAGAGAAATACTGTACTTTTAACTTATGAATGAAGTGAAAACTATTATTAATTTAGGCTTGGTTTTTATTATTGTCCATTTGCACCAATTTTGAGTCACATTATCATATTAAATTTAAAAGCAATTTTGTGTTATATTTTAATTAATATTAGTGACTTGTAATTAAAACATATAATACCAAATATAAAATTGTAAATGAATATAAAAACTAGAAAATATCTCATATTTATTAGCTTTTCGTATTGCCCAAAGTAACATATTAATATGAATTCATCTCAAGAATAAGTGTCAGAATTATAATCGATATAATCTGCTGATATTTTGTTGATGTACAGTATGTCTTTTATCAACTCTAAACATATAACAATGTGTTCATAAATTTGATACACCTCTAAGTTAGCAATGAAAAAAATTTTTAAATGAATATCTATTTATAAGTGTTGAGTTTACATTTCAAGAAATTTAAAGGTTCCCTTTAAGGAAAAACAAGCTTCTTACTCTGACTAAAATTTTCTGGTTGATACTAGAATTGGCTAGCCAGACTGAAATTTGAAGTACAAGCCAGGTGTTTTTTGAATTTTGGTTAAGTCAGCTAGTCAAAACTAGAAATAGCTGGCCATTTCAAGCATTGGCCAGAATTTAGACCTTAGCCCTCATATACATAATACAGTACAGTAATATTACTGACTGGCGCCCAGTACTATTCTGTTAACTGGGCACCAGTCAATCGATCAAATTTGATTTGCGTTCACATCCTAATATTTACTGTCTTTTAGTTTTAACTGTATGTAAAGATTATTTGAATGAAAACTTACCTTTTCCTTTAAGTTTGTATAAAAGTTATAAAAGTTGATTATGAATTTAAACAGTGATTGTTGATACACATTTGATATCAAAAACAATTAGCATAATTTCACATTGGTATAATTAAAAAGGTTAAATTTCAACTTCTAGTTGTATATTTTACATATAACTTGTTATTTTATGTTATTTGGTTGTAAATTCTAAATTAGAATAATATTAAAAGTTAAAATTTAAAAATTTATTTTCAAACTACTTTGCATAGTTTTGCATCATTCAACATCATGTGGTTATGTAAATTATGTTTCTTGATAAAAGTGATGTACTTCATACATTCTGTAATGTTTTTTTCAACGTTCACTGTAATTGTTCCTTTTGGTCAGTTTGTTATTCTTCGATTTAAAATGGTTTTTTAGAATATGGCATTTGTCAACTGATGAAAAAATTATATTTTGTTTTTTCCTAGAAATTGGAATCTTACATGGTTAGTAAGGAAATAATCCCAGCACATTTGTTGATTGGAATAATTATATGCATTATGTTTGTACCAATTTTTTAATATCTCTAATCATTGTAAAATTAGGTGGTGCAAACAAAAGTCATTGAAGTGTATGGAAGTCAATTTACACACAGAAAACAAAATGTTGGACATGTTCTTCCGCAACAGTGTGTGTTTGGTGGAATTTGCCGTGAATCGAAAAAGTGTTTTTCAGTCAATGTGCGAGACTGTTCAGCTAAAACATTGATTGATGCAAAACAAAATAATATGAAAGAAGGTAGTATAATATTTTCAATTGTTAAAAATCGTACAAAACTGTTGAGTTAGAAGACGGATACAAACATTTGCAAATAAACTACAGGTATAAACTTTGTAGACCCTGAAACTTGTTGTCATACTCAAAATATAAAATTAATTGTAAGTTTATTCCTTTGTTAATTGTTCATTATTTCATTATAATTTTAAATATGTTTGAATTACGAAATAAAATAACAATTTCGCTAAAAATAGTAATAAAAATGACTGGTGTCCAGTTAATGGAATAGTTCCCATAATACTGTGGCCGTTGGCCATATCGACATATGTATTTTAATTGTATATAGTTATAATTCCAATCTTCTTTCTCTATTTCTTCTATTTCCTTTATCTGTTCCTTCTAGAACCTTCCAATTGACAGTTATAGCCTTTGGGTGGTATTAGCCGTTCTGAGAATCGGAAAGAACAATAGCGTGTAGGATTAGCCGTTCTGAGAATCGGAAAGAACTATAGTTGTAGGAGGGACGGTGGAAAAATAGCAACAGAGAGGAAGACAGTATTGAATGAGACATGGAGAGAGCTAGACGTGTCGAAGGGAGCTCCAAACGTGACTTCGTGGTGAAGAACAAAGGAATTCTTCGAGAAGTCGAGTAACGGACTGAGGAGGAACCACAGTCAGATCATAAGGCCTACGGATGCCTCGAGATAGATCGGGAAGAGCCCAAGGAAGTGGAATCTCCACAATTAGAGATCCGGAGACTAGCGTGTTGAAGACCTTCCGGAAAGTAAGGAGAGTCAAGAACATAGTGGAAGCGAGAGCCATCGTTGTTAAGAGAAAATCCTACCCAAAGCACAGAGACATCAGAACATAAAAGGAAAGGCCCGGGTGAAGTTATCTCTTTCTTTCTTTTACCTTCCCGCTGTCCTGTATTCCTTGTCATTTCCTTAGTATTAAGTTAGCCTTAAGTTAGAATTAAGTTATATTTAGTTATGCGAATATAAAATATTAATTGTTATGCGCTAGGAGGACGTCATACCGTGAATTATTGTAAAACCGAAAGATTTTCTGTTGATACCCCTCGCATTGTAAAGATTTCATACATCAGTTGGGATCCCTGATAAAACCAAACCTGTTCATATTGAAATAAAGGAAAGTGTTTATTATTGTAACTGTCACAACATTCCTTTCTGTGTGTTTTATTCGTGGATCGTACTATTTCAATCACACGAACACCACAATACAATATATAGTAATATAATACCAACTTTAGTTTAAATGATATACACATAATATATCTCTTAAATTAAAAATTAGCTGTAACAAAAATAAATTCATTATGTTAGTCTATTATCTGTTTTATGTTAAGAAAATAAAAATAAAAGAAATATTTTAATTTAATTTTTTTTTGTAAAATTTAACACACCTTTTACCTGTTTATTTAATGATTAAATAAACTTATATACAATGATTTCTTAAGTTAAGCATGTTTTATATTTGCATAATTTAAAATAACATGTGACAACCGTATTTACCTGCTGATTCCTATAGAAAGCACTAGGTAAATATATCAGTCTCATAGCTTGCCATTTTCTCATTTTGTTTTGTTGAATACTGTATTGCTGATTGGTTATGTATTGAAAATGCATAACTTTTTTACTTTTCTACTTAGTTTTATTTAATTCTCAATCCAGATAACTTAGTCAGAATATGAAAGTTACTCTCAAAGGTCTATTACTTCATTTTTGGTGAATATTTACATCAGGCATGAAGTTAAATTGCTTATAATGCTCTGAAACACAACTCTTGCATAAATTAAGAAGTCACTGTATATACTTTTTAAATTTATAGCATTTTATAATCCTTTAAAGTTAAAAATTAAATATTTCATATTACCATATTGTACAATGTTCATCCATCAAAATCCGCAATAAAAATTTTGTTTCACAATTTGGTGAGTTTGTACATGGCATAATAATAAAATCACCAGGAGGTAAGGTAAAAAATGTAACTGTTTCTCTAGCAGGTGAATGTATTGTAATATCTAATGGATGATGAGAATAAATAAATTGAGTTGTCAGCCTGGACATATTTGTTGGAACCTATTTCAAATAATATTAAAAAATATAAAACATATTGTTTTTATTACATCTGAAATATAATTAATTGTAAAGAATCCTTAAGAAATAAATTATTATAGTAAGTTTAAAAATTTTAAACTGAACATTTGACATATGATGCTCTTAAAAAGTGAGTTTTTAAATGCATCATATATTGTATCAATTAAATTTAAGATACTTATTACTAACAGAACCAAAACTAACTTCATTTAATAAGATATACAAGAAGAAAATGATTCAAAGAGATGAACTGATTTGTTATCATGATAATTTATAAAAAAAAGGCAATAATAATATGAAATAATATATTGCTTTTAGCCCTTAATACTATTTAACAATTAATCTAAATCAACAAGACACACACACACATATACAGTCGACCCCACTATAACACAGGTTCCTATGGTTCGGATTCCTATATCACGGCGAAAAAATTGCGACAGTATTCGTACAAACATGCTAAAAAAAACTCGTATAATTCGGTAAAACATCATCGCCAACTCGTGTCGCGACAGGATTGGTCAAATCTAGGCCAATAGTGGATATTGTACAAACTGTTGAGTTTAAACGAGCAGCAAATCTACTAAAAACCATTTATTATTTAACAGCCATAAAAATTATATTTATATTAATAATGTCTCCAAATTTCAGCGAATTTTTCGCTGAAAAATAACTTACTTAATAACTTATCGGGAAACACGCGCCCACCATTCAATGACAAGCTCCATGACGAAAACAAGCTTAAGCACTGGCGTAGTCGAACAGTGCACACTCGGCAAGTAATCCTACAATTTTTTGTTTATAGCATAGTTTATATGGATTATTCCCAAAAAATTATATGTATTTTGGAAATGTTGAGTCGAATTAGTCTAGAATCAATTAAATTTATGGAAGAAACCTTTCAAACAGCCATAGTCTGTAAACTGCATAGCTATGATTGGCTGGACTCGTAGAAAATGGATTCATAAAAACTAGAACGTATCTACTGTGTTATAGGGAGGTCGACTGTACATATATACATATGGGCTTATCACACCAGTGAATGAGATTGATTAACAAATTCTTTAATGATTATTAACACCTTAATAATAAAAATTTACAATAAACATGTATCATACATAATATAGAACACTCAAATGCATTTCAGACATAATAAACAGTCCCTCTTCAATTGGTGTTCATATATATAAAATTATAAAAATAAATTATAAATACCATATATTTCCGCAGATAAGACAAGGTATAAATTTTTGTCTAAGTTTTATAGTTTTAGAATATATCTGTCCTATAAGACAACCCCCAAACTATCAACAGCCTATGAATTTAGTTTAGATCAGAAATCATCATCTGGCTAATAATATTGTATAGCATATATGAAATTATGTCCTATTTGTAATTTTTCGAATTAACAAATTTTATTTTCTTGCATCTGGCAGTACTGCCTTGTAATTGTTGCAAACATTTGCACTGATTTGGGCATTTAGGTAATCAATCACCTTGACTATTCACAAAAACATCATATAGGCTATTCTATTTTGTGGACACCCTACTCTCGTATCCACTAGTAAATAATTATGATTTGTCCGTTTTTTTTATAATGGTTTTAATTTATATAAATTTCAATCTATTTTCTTTTGTATCTGTCCTATAAGATGACCCCAGATTTTGGGGGCCTTTATTTATGATTCAACTATTGTCTTATCTGCAGAAATATAAAGTACATTTAAAAGACTGTTGTAAACAAGACGACTTCACAATCATCACAGGTGATGTCTCATGAATACAATTGTTTCACAATCATCACTTCTTAGCCTTGGAACATTAATAAAATTTACCAAAATTACTATTTCCATAATTAAAGTATTATAAATGTAAAGTGATGGTCATATTGGTTGAACTGACTGGAACTCTTATGACAATACTGAAACATAGCATTAATGCTGCATACTACTACTGCTAGAGCACTACAACTAATTTGTATATTTACACACATCACATGGCATCAATTATTGCATCTTTAATTATTAATTTATTTTTATAATTATCAATAAAGTCATACTATCCTTAATCTAATTTCACTCCTAAATTGTCATTAATTTTTTTTTCTGTTTTTACTTTTAAAATTTCTATATGTTCATAGTATTTCCTTTTTTTAGCATTAGTTTTATATTTTATTGCCTTTATTGAGTTTTTCATTATTTCACATCCTTTGAAATTACAATGTTTAGCAACAGCAGAATTATGCATATTATATTTTATTGCATTTATATGTTCTTTAATTCGTACTTTTAAATTTCTTTTTGTTTCTCTTATATATATTTTTTCTACATTATTCAACACAATATGTTTTTCTTCTTTATTACATTGATCTGGGACTAATACAATATCAAACTTTTTAAATTCATTTTTTATTTTTTCAAACATATTTTTAACATGTCAATTTAAAATATTTTACTAAACTTTGATTATTATCCGTTTCATTAACATTTTAGTATTAATACTGTTAATTTTTTCAAATATGTGTTCCAGTCAGTTTTCAAGAAGTTTCTTTGGGTAATTATTTAATAAAAACATTTAAATAACATCAACAATTTCATTCATTTTATCTTGTTCTAATGTAGTTCTATTCTCAATCTTTTTGATACAATTAGCAAAAATATTTCTTTTTATATAAATCGGGAAATAAGAATAATAATCTTAATAATAAATAAGGTTTTCTTAACATTGACACAACTAAAAAAGTAAGTTTATTATTTTGTTGCTCTTCTATTTCAAACTTTAAGTTATAATTTAAATTATTTATTATATTGAAGGGTCATGACTTGACCATGAACACTGCTGGTGACTTTGTTCCTACACCTCGACATAAACCAAGAATTTAGTGTATTTTTCGACTTTACTTATCTAAACTAACCAAAGGTGTTTAATATTAATTAGAAATCTTACCAATGAATAAAGAATTACAGGAATCATCTATGGCAAACAATAATTCTCATACGGATATACAGTGGTGCCTCGTATAACATACCCCACAAATAACAGACTTTCTATTTGGCCGTTACATGACTGACTGCGAACAACAGACTTTCTGTTTGGCAGTTACATGAGGTGAACGACAGTCTTTCTGCGAACAAGTGCGAATGATGTTTCCACTCTTTTGCTGTTGCCAATGACAAACTGCTATTTTTATAATATATTATTATTACATCTGAAGTACAGAGCTCCCATTGGGATTTGGCTTGCTCCCTTGTTTATTACGTACATCACCTCAGTGCAGGGTATTTACATTTATTCAAGTGTCGTGCAAATCATGGCTTCTAAAAAAACAGAAAGGTGATTTCAATTGAAACAAAGCAAGAAATCATCAGAAGGAGTGAAAGTTGACAAAAACTTCCTTGTCAAATGGGGCCTCTCCCCATTTGACAAGGAAGTTTACTAACACTCATTATCCAAACACAGCTGAGGCCAACAGGATCAATGATCTCTACAATGACACCTTTGCCTGTCATTTCCGACAGGGGTTGAAGAAGAGAGAGAGAAACTGACCACCTTGGACATGTTTCTCAAGAAGCAAGCTGCCAAAAAGAAAGGACGGAGCAAGAGAAGTTGACCCTGCAAGCTCCAGTAGCCTCTCCTGAATCTGACTCTGATTAAAAAACAATAAAAAGAGACCTGCTGCAATGTGTAAAAAGTCTGTATCTGTATGAATGTGTGAAGAAAGTGTTCCTCCACCTCCTCCTCACA